ATTTTCCATGCCTTCATCGAAATAACAGTTTTTTTTGCATGATTTAGATTTTTTCGCCTTGTTCAAAATGTGGTTTTATGAAAATAAAACACAAAAATATGAGAGAGAAACTGGTCATTCGAGTAAAAACGTCCAAGATATGTCATTTTAAACCATTTTCAAGCAATTACTTATAATGAAATTATCGTTGATTTGTAAAAATTACAATCGGTGCGTGCAAATTTCTCATTTCATATGACATGGCGAATATAACCGAATTAGTATGCAAATGTGAAAAATTGTAATTGATGTAGATTTTTGTGTCAATCTTGTGTCGAGTTCAGTGTCAGTTGTGCATTCGTCGTGCCAATAATAATATCACCAATTGTCATAAGGACCTCTCTCTCTCTCTCTCTCTCTCTCTCTCTCTCTCTAACTCTTGCCATTTCTTGCCGTGTACGGCACACATATACCAAAGTAATGTTAATGTGAAAGCTTATTATGCTAAACAATGTGAGAAATTGAGCGCGAATGCCATAATTTACTCAAAAACCTAACGATACGGGAAACCGTAGCCAATTTTACATGCATAAATAACGGCACTAATTTCAAGTTAATTATCTCAATGTGTTATGTTTCTCGACTTACTAAATAAACAACGGGCCAAACGACGGGTTTGGTGTGCCACGATGGACGACGGTGGTGAAGCATACAGAAAATATACATTCACATTAACAACAACCATAAGACCGATAGACGAATGACTTGTTAGTCACCGAGGTCAATTGAAGAGTGAGCGAACGAGCGAGCGAGAGAATGAAAATGTGAAACGACACATAATTTATACTTATTGCTTGACATCGACTATGTGCAAAATGGTGCAAATATACATGCGAATAACATTTGGACTACATAAAATATGCACGATTTGATGGATGTTAAGTTGTCACGGCATCGCAGTAGCGTGAAGTGCTTATTTTCCGACATTCATTCAACGTGTTATGTATGTGTGTGTGTGTAATGAATCGAAATGGAGAATGCAAGAAGGAAAAGCTATTCAAATCACTTGGCGTCAAAGTTAAAAACCACAAAAGGCTACTATATTACGATTCGCAATGGATTTCAAGCGGAAAATCGAACATGAAAATCACGTAACTGCTTGCACAGCCCCGGAATTCGGCGAGAGAGTAGATTGTTTGAATGTACAGAAGGAAAAGAAGTCGAAGAAATAAAAAAATATTGTACATCAATAAATCTTATGGACAGGAAAAAATCAAGCATTTTGTAATTGTTTTCCGTGCACCATAAAATGTGAGTTTAAAATAGAGAACGATAACTATGGTGGAAAATTTGCATTGGCAAATAGAAAAGCAGCTCTATAATTTGATTAAATTATGCATCTGATTGCAATTGATTGTCCAAATGGTGATTAATGGCTTTTGATGCAATTACCGCGTTCTTTGGTCTTCCACTCTTCCATCCCACGTTCAATCAAATTGAAGCTCCCTGCCAAACGTCAACAAACAAAATTCGCTGATATTAACACATGCACATTTGGTATTGTTAGTATTAACACTGGCCCCGATGTAAACATACATGAATCATCATTTTGATTCAGTGGAGACTTTTTGTCTTGAATCTAATGAGTTATCACACCCAAAGGTATTTTATGCCTTCAGAAGTTTCATTTTAATTAAATCTCTTGCACGTAAGAATTGAAAATCATTTGTCATCAAAACTGCCACAAGAACACCACCCAAAATGTCAAAATGTCATCGACGACATGAGAGAGAAAAAAACAGACACGCCAAATTGTGTGTATGTTAAAAAAAGGTTTCTCGTTTACTTTACACCGAATTTTATAGTGATCAATCCATTTGTCGGCTCTGTCTTTGTGTCACATCGGCTTGCCGTGTTTTGTCTGTTCGTTTCGACTTGGATGAATATGTGTAGCAAGCACACAGCGAACAATTTATAATCAGTGCCAAAGGATCCGACATCTGGGTACAAGTGGTCCTCAACTTTGATCTGGCATCAAGCTCACACAAAACTTTCTACAAATATCGAAGCAGAAGGGCATAACCGACAAGGATGCGGCAGAGCATCAGCGATAAAAGGTTGCTTGCCCGCATAAATATCAGTGCGAAAAAGCAACGACGAAGAAAATGAAGAAGAAAAAGAATGCGACGAGAGAAAGAGAGAGAGAGAGGAGTTTTGATTCTATTATAAAGTTGTACTGGTGTTACAGCACGGGGTGATAGCCAAAATAAACCATGCTTCGCTATAAATGTTAAAGCGAAAACGCAACGTCTTCTTTCCAAACAAACAATTTTGTGTTACCTTCTTCGGGGAATTGGTGAGTCTAAATCCCATAAATCACAACATGGCACGTTGATAAGGGTTGTAAATTGTAACAATCCTTAAATTGTGCACGGGGTTTGGAGTGCGATGCTGTACACCGACTATACGTCCAAAGCGCATTCAAGCAGACACACAATCCATAGACACATTTGTTCGGTAATATTGTTTTCGATGAGAGTGTGTGTGTATACATTTGTGCTCATTTTGTGCAATGGACGAGTGAAGTAGTTAACGCCATGTCGTAAATCATTTTTGCGCCTTTTTCCCACCACCATCGTATACCATGTGATTTTTCATCGATTTTCCAGGCGATAGATCAACACGATTCCCCTTCTGTCTTATTACGTGAATGAAGCAGAAATTGTGGAATGAGATGAGCTTTTATTTATGGCGAAAACTTTTCCATTTCAACCGGAAATTTCGTTTCATAACAGGTAAACTTGGTGTCAAAGAAAAACTAAATTGATTTCCTGCTAAATACCAGGATATAACCTTCAGCAAAATTTCTATTCGAACCTTTCCGTCTTATCGATTAACCTACAATTTGAGCGCTGTATTGTTTTTAAACAAATATTTAAAAAAAAAATAACGAGTCATTTATCGATCGTTATGGGTTGAAACAACTTATTTTCATTGACCTTGTTAACAGTACATTGATTTATATTTTCGTCCATAAAACTTTGCATATTATTTTGGAAAAGTGTGCATATCATGAACATTAAATTGAATAAATTAAAAGATCCTTTAAATTTTGATTCAGTATTTGGTCTTTACTTGCACATTTCAATTTAAATTTGTGTATCATTTTTCAAAGTCAAAATGCAATGTTATTTCAGCTTTTAGCGTTGAATCGTTATTTATTGATTATTGAGATTCTAATGTGATTTAGATTCATCTTCATTCAAGTCATCTGATTCTTGTTTTGGTAATGACTCAGTGTTGGCTGGTTTCGGCTGGACTTTTTCATCATTTTCAGCTACATCTGGTTCCGCTGATGGCCCTTCGCTAACTTCAGTTTTGGGTACAAGTCCAAGTTCTTCCTTCATTGAGTCGATGTATTCATACAGTGCGTCAATGAACGGATTGACTGCCGACAGCACATAATCTGTAATTTCTCCGGATAAATATTCAAGATTATATTGAATGACAGCAAAACCTTCTAGAAGTTTTTCATCGTATTTAGAATTTCTTTTATGTGATGGCTTAGCCTCTGATGTTTGAATAAAAATTCCAAAACACAACAATATTACAACACTATAAACCAATTTGCTCATTATTATAACCGTTGAAAAGCTCCTTTGAAACGAATACTTAATCATTTGAAATTGGCTCTACTTTTATATGCTTCCGAATAGAGACATAAAAAGAATTTCACGTAAAAAATCGATTGCTAAAAATTCATAGCAATGGCACGATTCCCATATTTGATGTCACATGAAATGCATGACTCGATGAACATCATTTTTAATAATCATGTTTATCAAACAATTTACAATGCACGAAGTAACCTTTTCCTAAAGCAACAATTCACACTCTCGACTTTTTTGCAGTTTATTTTTTTGCTTAAACAAATTGTGATATAACGTTTATCACTGTTATTGTGCCTTTGAAAAAAAAATACACAAAGTGATATCTACTTTGAACGAATTAATATCTGAAGAAAATGGTTTTAACTTTCAAGCAAATCCTTTTCTTTATGTATAACAGTCATAGTATAATCGTGATGAACTTTTGAAGGACACTACATAAAATATATTGACACTTAATTTTTTCGCTTTGATTTTCTTGATTATTCATAGATTAGGCCAGAGGAACTTTGCTTTTTATATAGACACAAAATTGTATGCACGTTATGTTACGTAACGTTTGTATTGGTGAATTATAAAATAACAAGTAATCCCTATTATTCAGGTGCAATGGCAGTATATTCCAATACCGAAAAACCTCCAAGTTATGTGGGTGAATTTTTTTCTCTTTAAATGGCAAATGATGAAAATGAAAGGGAATGTGGAGTGTTTTATTTATGTTTGTTGATTCGTAGAACTGATATAAAAATGATTGGCCTTCAGTTTAAAGTTATTCAAACAATTTTAAAGATGTAAATATATCCATTTATAGAAAATTATATTTATTTAAAGCCATTTGCTAGCTGAAGCAGCTGAAGTATTTGCTACTGAATGTACGGAATAGTTTGAATTCGAATTAATAGCGCCATCTATCGTAAATATAGTTAAGAAAAGTGTGTTTCTATAATAAAGCTAGCTTTCTATTTTCTGTTTAAACAGCTGACACATAGATGTCAGCAAATGCATTTCAGCGGTTGATTTTACTTATTTCACAAATTTGAAATTTTATCATGAAACATTCGTTTGGAAATGTTATTTTCGCTTAAATTTTTTGATAAAACATTTTTTTTGTTCAATAAAATATGAGATAATTTCAAACCGTATCATTTTACATAACATAATAGTCTTATTGTGGAAGTAATTTAATCACCACGTATTTAGAATGTTTATTTTGTGATCTTCCTCATATTTTCATGATAAGCAACAGCATGAACAGTTTTTTTATATTATTTATTACCTAATATTTACACTGAAGCAAGATAACATGCATATAAAAGAGTTGAATTAAAATAAAGGAGTCAGTTGCTGGAGTGACCGTTCTGAATACTTAATACGCGATCTAAACGGTAAAAGGTTATACAAATTACGACATCACGAATTCGAAGAGAGAACAAAAGAATATAATCATTGTCTACCATTTAGAGCTGAATTGAAAATGTTTAAATTGATACTCATTGAAATATTTCTGGCGCTTTGCGGTGCCCTTGTTAATGGTGATTATTTAACAGTGAATACAAAAAGTGGTCCCATAGTAGGTGTTGAACAAGAGACGTTTCCCAACAAAGTTCCATTTATAACATTCAAAGGAATACCATACGCAGAAGCTCCAATAGAAGACCTGAGATTCAAGGTAAATATGAGAAAGAATTCCAATTTTTATATCACAAATGAATTATTGTGTTGAAAAAATCGTAACAGGTACCAAGGCCAGTGAAACCATGGACAGAACCGCTTGTAACTACAGATAAGTTTCAACCTTCCTGTCTTTGGACCGGTGGCACAGTACCTTCTTCATTGCAATCAAACCAAAGTGAAAATTGCCTCTTCTTGAACATCTACACGCCTGGTATGCCTTAAGGCACAATTGTGATCAATATTGATGATTATTTATGAAGTATATTTGATTTAATGATTCTTTCTATTTCAGTTCTAGATAAAATTAAAACGAATAAAAAATTGTCGGTGCTGATAAACGTTCATGGTGGTGGATTTGCAGTTGGTGATGGTAGCGATGCGAATTACGGACCCGATTTTATTGTCGAAGAAAATGTTATTTTGGTGTCAATCAACTACCGTTTGGGTCCATTTGGTTTCGCTAATTTCGAATTGGAAGGCTATACGGGCAACATGGGACTCAAAGATCAGCGCGAGGCATTAAAATGGGTTAAAGAGAACATTGCGCATTTTGGTGGTGATCCAGATTCAATCACCCTCTTTGGAGAAAGTGCTGGTAATATTGTTACGTGCAACTATCAGTCCCGGATGTACAAAATTCTTGATAAATTTGCACTCGTCGATAAGAAATCATTTAAAGACCAATTTGAGATGTAACACATTTTAATGAATTGCAGGTGCAGCTGCAGTGCACTTACATGTCTTGACAGATTCATGCGAATATATAAAACGGGCAATCATGTGGAGTGGCAGTGCATGGTCACACTATGAGAAGAATAATCATTTGGAACTTTTGACAGAGACGTTCAAGGATGAATTGGGAAATCGAACAACCAAAAAAGATCTATTGAACTTCATGATTAATGCTTCATCAGATGTCATCGTTCAAAAAACTCCAGTACAAGCGGAGTTTAAAGGCTTTTTCGAGGTATTTTGGACACCAGTTGTTGAAGGTATGTATATCTATTTTTCTGGCATCAAAAATATTTTAAATTTTCCATTTCTTTAATCAGATAAGACTATTGCTGTTGAGCCATTTTTAATTCACGCCCCACACGAAATATATGCAAAAAACCAATTTAGTCCCCATTGTAAGAATGTCGACGTTTCATTTGGCATAACAAGCGCTGTAAGTTTTTGAAAAATAAGAGTTCTATGCGATTCTAGAATTGAAATCAATATAAATTCTTAGGAATTCACGACGTTCCTTACCTTATCTAATCTGTATGGGTGGATTGAACCATTAAAAAACAATTCAATTGTTGGACTACCATACCAGGGACTCAATATAACGCAAGATGATGAGGTAATTAATGCAAAAAAACTCATTTCCATTCGTAGTTAACTATTCCTTATGTTAAGGTGTATCAAAACATACAAGCTGAAATTAAAAAATTCTATTTCGGTGACGGAAAAATTGAATCAACACCAGAGCGATTGAATCAATATGTTCAAATGAATTCAGATGTGAATTTCCTTCCTGCGTTTTATGATGCAATTAGACTACATTCAAGTGTTTCACCAACGTTTTGCAATTTGTAAGCAATCATTTTTAAGGAATATTTTTCGTCGTTGACACATTTGATTATTTTCAGCTTCAACATTAGCTTGAATGCAAATATTATCAAAGTACCTGGCCATTTGGAAATTGTGGAAGGAATGGGCCATTTTGAAGATATTCAATACATGTTCAAGTAAGCATTTTGTCTAGCTGAGTAGCGTTGATCTCAAATAAACAGACATTTTAATTGGATCTTTCAGAGCAAAATTTTACACCGATATGTACAATAAAATATATGAAAATCGACAGAGGAATATAACAGATCAAAAGACAGTCGACGCTTGGCGATTTGTTACAAAACTATTCACGGATTTTGCTAAGACTGGGTATGATATTCCATTGAACTACTTTCACCATCTTTTGTTCAAATGAAACACGTTTTCGTTTCTTAGGTCATTGGAACATAGCCGCCCAGCGAAAACGACTGGAGATATTCAATGTGTCGATATCACCAATGATGGATTACGTTCGATCATTCAACCCAAAAAAGAAGCAATGGAATTCTGGGATAAAATCTATGAAATTGTTAAACCATACATTGTAAATGAATATTAACGCAAATGAAAAAAGTATATTCGAGTTAATAAAAATCCAATTATCTTTGTTCGAAAACGATGTTTTTTTGATAAAACCAGGATTGATGTCTTTTTTCTTTCCATTCATTCTCACATTTTAACTGTGCGTTGAGATAATCAAGCTATTAATTTAAAGTAATTTCGACAAAATTCCTTTTAAAATAAAATCACGAAAAAGGAATTAGCTATCACGTGCAATGTCTCATTTTATATACCCGAAAATTGTTATAATGATTAGAATATTTGTCAAGATTCGTGAAACTAAACCATTTATCTAGCATTTACTTTGTTTTCTATGCGTATTATGACTTGTTAACGACAAAATGTTTGCATAATTTTAATTCGAAAGTAAATATTTTATTGCGAACATGATAACATGAAACCAATTGCGTAAATAAAAAGTTGCAAAGTAAATGTGCAAATCTATTTTTTTTTTGCGAATTTCATGTGCGATTTTATTTTATTTGCGTAGTCATTATCACAATCAGCGACTATATACAGAAAAAATAAAAGTGATAGTATGTGGTCTGCCATAAAATGTAATATAATTTGTCGCAATATTTTAGTTATTCTGTGCCAAATCATAACACTTACGACATACTGTCAAAGTATTTATTTTTTCTGGGTGATTTTATATTATATCATTTCCGATGTTTAGATATATTATAAAAATTACGTTAATGTGTATATAAAAGTGTTGAATCAGTTTTTAAAGTGTCATTCCACAAAATTGGATGCTTATGCGACAGTACTTAAAATATTGCTTCATAAAATCAGTGTTCTTGGCTTTGAATAGAAAATGTTTAAATTGATACTCATTGGTATATTTCTGGCGCTTTGCGGTGCCCTTGTTAACGGTGAATATTTAACAGTGAATACAAAAAGTGGTCCCATAGTAGGTGTTGAACAAGAGACGTTTCCCAACAAAGTTCCATACATAACATTCAAAGGAATACCATACGCAGAAGCACCAATAGAAGACCTGAGATTCAAGGTAAATATGAGAAAAACTTCCAATTTTTATATCACAAATGAATTATTGTTTTGAAAAAATCGTAACAGGTACCAAAGCCAGTGAAACCATGGACAGAACCGCTTGTGACTACAGATAAATTTCAACCTTCGTGTCTTTGGACCGGTGAAACAGAACCTTCTCAATCGCAATCAAATCAAAGTGAAAATTGCCTCTTCTTGAACATCTACACTCCTGGTAGGCGCACAAGAACTTTAAGCTACAAATATGAAGTATATTTCAATTTATGAATTTTTCTATTTCAGTTATGGATAAAATTAAAACAAATAAAAAATTGTCGGTGCTGATGAACATTCATGGTGGTGGATTTGCAGGTAGCATAGATCTTTCCGATTTGGTTTTGGTATATATATATAATATATATACAATTTGACCCGCCCTACTATATATATGTTTCTAGAATTTTTATAATATTTTCAATTTGGTGGTGTTTTTTCTTCATTTAACATCACGATAAAAGAGCCCATTCATTGTAAAAAAAATTATATTTGTATAAAATACTATTCATATTTACACATTTTATCATTTAACTGAATTTCAAACAAACACTGCTATGATTTACAGAAGGTGATGGTAGCGATGCAAATTACGGACCCGATTTTATTGTCGAAGAGAATGTTATTTTGGTGTCAATCAACTACCGCTTGGGTCCATTTGGTTTCGCTAATTTCGAATTGGAAGGCTATACGGGTAACATGGGACTCAAAGATCAGCGCGAGGCATTAAAATGGCTTAAAGAGAACATTGAGTATTTTGGTGGTGATCCAGATTCAATCACTCTCTTTGGACAAAGTTCCGGTAATACATACGTTTAATAAGCACAATATTTTTTGAATTGAAATGAAAATTGGATTCAATTCCAGGTGGCTCAGCTGTGCACTTCCATGTCTTGTCCGATTCGTGTGAATATATAAAACGGGCAATCATGTGGAGTGGTGATGCGTTCAGTAGCGATGCACATTATGAAAAGAATAATCACGTGGAGCTTTTGATGGACACATTCAAGGATGAATTGGGAAATCAAATCAGCAAAAAAGATCTATTAAACTTCATGATTAATGCTTCAGCAGATGTGATTGTAAAGAAAACACCACAACCTTCATTTAGGGGCTTTTTCGAAATTTATTTTTCGCCTGTTGTTGAGAGTATGTTATTTGGGTTTGTCCACTGAATGCATCATGTTTTAAGTTCGACTTTTTTTTAATTAGACAAAAGTATAGCTGTCGAACCAATACTGACCCAAACACCACACGAAATATATGCAAAAAACCAATTTAGTCCCCACTGTAAGAATGTGGAAGTTTCGTTTGGCGTGACCAGTGCGGTAAGTGCGGTAGATTTGGAATTCTATTCTGACCTTCGATTTAAACCAAAATATATTTTTAGGAGTTCCTGCTATTTCTTGACTTCTCTGATTTATATGGATGGATTGAACCATTAAAAAATAATTCAGTCGTCGGAATACCATACCAGGCACTCAATATAACGGAAGATAATGAGGCAATTTGTCTTTTTTTAAACAAAAATAGAACAAATCAAATCAATTTCCATATCTCGTCGATTTCTTTATTTTTAGGCATATAAAAGCATGCAAGCCGACATTAAACAATTTTATTTTGGTGATGGAGAAATTCAAGCAACGCCAGAGCGATTAAATCAATATATTCAAATGGGCACTGATATTAATTTTCTTCCTCAACTGTATGAAGGAATAAGATTGCATTCAAGTGTCTCGCCAACATATTGCAACTTGTAAGATATCTTTTTTAAGTTAACACTTACAAAGTAAATTGAAATATTATTATGATTTAATTACTATTAGCTTCAACATCAGTTTGAACACAAATATTGTCAAAGTACCGCTACATTTGGAAATGATTGAAGGAATGGGCCATTTTGAAGATATTCAATATTTGTTTAAGTAGGTATTTATTGTTACAAAATTTATATCAACTTAATTCAAACAAAAATATTTGTTGATTTGATACATTTAGAGCTAGAGACTACAGTGATATGTACAATGATGTATATAAAAATCAAGCGAATAATATAACAGATCAAAAGACGGTCGATGCTTGGCGATTTGTTACAAGACTTTTCGCGGATTTTGCGAAGACTGGGTATGATATTCCATTGAACTACTTTCACCATCTTTTTGTTAAAACCCTTTTTCGTTTTTTAGGTCATTGGAACATAGCCATCCAGCGAAATCAACTGGAGATATTCAATGTGTCGATATCACCAATGATGGATTACGTTCGATCATTCAACCAAAAAAAGAAGCAATAGCATTCTGGGATAAAATCAAGGAAAATGTTAAGAAATACATTGATGATGAATTTTAAAACTGTTTTAGAACCGTTTAGAACTGTTGAAGAAAATAGAATGTGGTATTTTATGATTGTTGCAAACAAAATAGTTATTTTTTTATTAAATATAGATATATTTCATTTATTCGGAAAATAATGTTATCATACATTTCATTATTGATTGTCGTTTCGACTATTTACGAATATTGTTTGAGACAATAGCTAATTCTTTAACTTTTCGCCGCATAATTTTACCCGATGGAGTTACTGGAAGTGAATCAACGAAATAAACTCCACCTCTTAGTTTACAGTAGTCAGCAAAGTGATCTGAATGTGAAGTGAAAACGTTAGTTTTTAATTATTTTATTCAAGAAACACGCTAAAGTACCTGCAACTAAATTGAAAATATCTTTTTCCGTGATATTCGATGCCTCATTGCGTACAATATATGCCGCTGGTAAATCATTAGATGCTACTTCACCCGGTATTCCAATGATACACGCTCCTTTTATATCCGGTAATTCGATCAAAAACGTTTCAATTTGTGAGGGTGAAATTTGGAAATTACAATACTTGATGAGTTCTTTTATACGATCAATGAAGTACAAATTTCCGTCTTCATCGAAATGACCAATGTCTCCGGTTAAGAAAAATCCTTCATCATCAAATACTTCATCTGTGGCTTTCTGATTGCCAAAGTAGCCAAGAAATTTATAATTGGTTTTGAAGCAAATTTCACCATTTTCACCGATGCCACAACGGTTACCATTTTCATCGACAATTTTAACGATGAAAGAACCCAATAACTGACCAACTGAGTCATTATCACCCAAATTCATTGAAATTGCACTACTCGCTTCACTCATTCCATATCCACTTACAACTTTTCCGTTTGGTAATTTGGCATTGATTTCTCTATGAATATTAAATGAACATTTTGCACCCCCAACCATTTGCAATTTGAGGCTTGACAAATCAGTGTGATCAATACGATCACATTTTAACAGTAAGGCCATTTGATGGGAAACACTGAGAATAAATGTTACTCTATATTTCTCAATAAATTGAAGATGCAATTCGGGAGTGAATGATTCTGTTGTAATAATACGAGTTGAACCATTAATCATTCCCCCGATCAATATGAACCATCCAGAGATCCAGTATAGTGAGCTAAAAGCCAATAGTACACCAGTCGAAGAGAGTTCATCAATTTGTGTGATTCCATCGAGTAAAGCAGCATGCGACAAACAAACTCCTTCATTTGTGAAATAAGAATGGAATATTTCATTGAATATTGTTTAGATTTGATAAAAAACATATTGTTCACCTTTTGGCAATCCCGTTGTACCACTAGAACAAACAATTACAGCTGTATCATTTTCACCATCAACTTCCACCGGTCTAATGTCGAATATATATTTGTTACTAAATTGTTTTGAACTTTCTATCGAATGATATAAAACTATCATGTTATTTCGAAGAAAACACTTACACAAAATCGTCTTCATTGTGTGTTTCTTCAAATAAATTTTCAACTTGTTCTGAATCACCTTTGTTACCACCAAATGTAAATATTTTTGAATCATTTTTTAGCTCGGCAAAACATTCTTTTACCAGATCATACACTTCTACATCGCAAAAAATCACAACCGGTTTGGTTGTTTTTAACATATGCAAAAGTTCTGCTTTTTTAAATGACGTATCCAGCGTATTCACAGCACTGCCAATGGCCAATGAAGCGAACACAATTGGAGCAAGGTGATGGGAATTCTTTGCTATAATTCCAACTACATTTTTTGACTTATATCCTCGCTTTTGAAGATTTTGTGCAGCACGAATTGTTTTTAAACGAATTTCATCGTAAGTCAATTGAATACCAGAGTCATCGCTTATCTAAATTTTATGTGTCAAACAATTTAATTGGATATTACATTAAAATATTATTTTTCTATTGATTTATTCAAATACCTGAGCAACTTTCGGTCCGAGATTCAAACAAGTTCGTAAAACTACTCGAGCCAGTGAAATTTTTGGATTGTACAATGGAGGTGAATTACGACCTTTCCACAATTTTGTGTCTTTATCAAAATATGTTTTGTACATTTTCTTTTTTTTCTGTAGTTTTTTTAATCTCACTCCAATTTGCCGGTTTCCAATTCTTTCGATTGCAGGTTATAATCAAACTAATAAGGTTGACCAAAGGCAATCACTTTTTATCTGTTGTATTGAAACCGAACAATTCAGCATATTTTGTGTTTTCAAACTACGTTTCAAACACCTTTTATCTACAATAAACATCTCTTTGTATTAATGATAATCATATCGAAAAATTGCTATCGTGCAAACTCGACACTATACTTTTCTAAAAACAAAATCTAATAAATCGCAAATTTATAAATTCACTTATCTCTCTGCTAGATCGTATTTGTATTTTGTAAGTGACGATATCATGATACGGTTCATATTTTGTGTGTTGTTTTAATTTTTAAATAACGTCACGCAAAAAGCATGTTACTTTCAAATAATAATCAAAAATTTGTGAGATTATTTATTTTGATAAGAAAATAATATTCACAAGTTTTCACGGTGATTTAAGTTACTGCAACCATATATAGACCACAGTCTCAGTTTATTTCCAAAATTTCGTTGCCATGCGGAAAAGTCAGCTTGCCTGCTGATCTTGTTGTGCGTAAAATTAACGCAAAAATATCTGAAAATCTTTCCAGACCACTATATGCTTCGTGGAGATGTTTACTTCATAGAGAGTATTCCTAGAACACCATCTGGCAAACAATTATGTAGAAAAGCACGAGAAATTGCTATAAAAAAGTTCAAAGTATTGCCTGCTTTTGATAACATTACTTTCAGACTATAAGCACCAATTAAACCGAAATTTGTTGAGAAATTCATAAAGATTACAAAGTGAGCATTAATATTTCATTGCATCAACATTTTATTTGTCAATCGAGCTAATTCTTGTTTGAATAAAAAAATTTCATCATTCTCGCCTTTTTGTGTTAAGATATTTTTCAATATTGAACTATCTTTATTACAATCTAGCAAGGTAACATTACAAATTCAATTCAGGTATTCCATTTGATAAAGTAGCTGTTTCTATTTTTCGTTGGATACATATTTTGAGATGACAGTAGAGGTGAAACCTTTGGAGTTGTCCGAAAAATGTAGCTCAATATCTTCTAAGGATCGATTCTCCGTCTCAGGTAGAATGTTGTACGTTAGTATAAGGCCAAAGAGGCCAATTAGAGTGTATACTAATGAAACACCTGGCAGGGATAGCAGGGTTTCCAAATTGTAGTAAGCTTTTGTTGCACAGAATATTGATATATATAATATAGCGGATAAAATGCCATTTGCAATGCCACGTAACCTAACAATTGGAAATTCAAAAACTAACTTATCAAAAATTACCACAAAACACTACATAACAGTACTTACTTAAACGGAAACATTTCGGACAGCAATATCCAAGGAAATTGTGCTAAACAAATGTATGCTAAGTGACTCCATGTTAATAGACAAACTATAGGGATATACCCAAGTGATTTGTTTTCCAAATGAAAAGGTTCTCTTTCTGCTTGAGCAAAGGAAATGTGGCCCGTTGGCAAATAAGTGAATCCAAACCATGTAAGTATAGCGGAACAAATTATAGCACCCGACAAACAGAATAATTAAAGTCTTCGCTTGCCCGTGAATCGAACCAAAAGCACAAAAATCACACTTCCAAGAGCATCGAGTATACTCATCATCGCTACTGCTCGATCCGCTGAAATGGGACTGTCGTACGCTTTAAAAATTTGCATCATATAGGGTTTTAAAGACACTATTCCTGGATATAAAGAGAGAAAGATAACTGAAATAGTAATGAATAACGGTTTAAGCACTCGTTTCCGTTTGAATTCAGTGAGTTTTTCTCTCAACGTTGGCTGGAAATGAATGCATTTTTGTGCAATGCATGTATTACACGATTTCGAAACTTTAATATGTCGCTGTAAATCGAGGAACTCTTGAGCTACATGTTCACTTGACGCCCAACCCCGAATCCAGCGAAGTGAATTTTCAGCCTGGTCCGTTCGATTTTTGGAAAGCAGCAGCCAAAATGGACTTTCAGGAATCTACGAGTGCATCAAATTTTCGATTGGTTTTCGTTTAAGTTCATTTCAAAAGATGCATTATTTTTATATTTTATATGAAATAAAACTCACAAAGAGCATCGCAATTGCTGTAAGTACAGGCATCGCCAAAAAACACAGGCACACCATTCTCCAAGGCATTAAAGTATTCAGAAAAAATGTCACAAACATACCCAATGAATAGGAAATGTATGTGTAACCTAATAAATAATTTTAATTCATGCAATAAATGTTAGATACTTTTACTATATGAATATAAATAATATTTTATAACATTCACATACCAATTAGTACACCCCTATATTTTGGCTCACTGAAATCAAAATAAGATTTATTGTATTATTGTATCAAGCACGAAACTATCATTCTCACCATATTTCACCTAAAAAAGACACAGATTTATATATGTATAGATTTACTTTACCAACATAAGAAACAATATATTATATAT